CTCACTCTGTATCTGCTTCTCTCTCTCCTGTTTAAGGTTTCACAGGGGTGACGTTCTCATCACCACAGCAACGGGTGTAATGACAGAGGAGGAAGGGGAAAGATGGGGTTTAGTGCCAACACACGCCTACGCTGTTCTTGACATCAGGGAATACAAGGTTAGCGTTGGTTGTTTATATTATACTGTCAGTTTATACACATCAAGCCATTAGTGGCCCCTCATACACAATGGATAGTGGACTTTCTAATTTCCAGCAGGGGGAACTGATCTTGTTGCAAAAAAAAAGTCAGATTGATGTTTGTGAGAAAATGTTTCTACTTTTCACCTGGTTTGTTTCTTTAAGCACTTATCAAGTTAAATTTGTATACAAAAATGATCAGAAAGGAACGATGGGATTGTCGTACTATTGCGGTTGCACATTCAGTGTTTCCTTCAATTTTTCATCTGCCTTATATTGACTCAGAGATGGAGTATGGGGGGAAATCAGACTTATGACATTTATATTATACTGACCCTGCTGCAGCGCCGATATCCGTAACACTGGTGAACTCAATATTTCAATATGAATTGAATTCAGCCCTGCTAACCGGCTGTGCAGGTATCTCTGAAGCTTCTAAAAGGTCTCTGTGCATGGTCTTGCTAGTGATTGTCAATTATGACTTCCTTAACAAGCTGCTCATGTCAGTAGGTTCAAAAAATGATGAAAACAAAGTTTTAAAAAAAAAAGAAAAAAAAACATTTTTAAACTTCCCAAAATACAAAAAATTCCTCATGACGCTAAACTGAAGAATGAGCATTTCATTCTTATAATCTTGCTTAGTAAATGTTTAGTAAACCTGCTAGTTTGTAGTATATTTAGATAATTCTGTCATTTTTTTTTCTGGTCGTGTGATTAACCTCATACTTGCGGGTTTGTTTCTCTTGTAGAAAATGCGATTCCTGCAGCTAAAGAATCCGTGGAGTCATCTGCGGTGGAAGGGGCGCTACAGTGAGCGCGATGAGAAGAACTGGACACCTGAGCTCCTGAAATACCTCAACTTTGACCCCAAGACAGCTCAGAAGTTTGATAACGGTATCTGAGTTTATTGAGTTTTACATTCAGTACTTTGACATTGGTCACACACATTGGTCTTTATATTCTGTCTTTAAGTAATTCCAGGGTATGGAGCATATTCAGTCACAGTCTAGCTGTTACAGTCGGTTTGTTTTTCTGTTCCTGGTAACTAATGTACTATTTTTATTTATTTTTTTTACGTTTTTTTTTTAAGTTACACATTATATGTACACTTACTGTGTGTATTTAAGAACCTTGTGAAAATGTTAGTCACATTCTTAAATAATCAAAGGGTATTTTAAATGTTATAGAAATATGTGGCACCTTGCGTCATGCATAAAATTACTCACACAGTGTTAGATTAAATAGAGGGTATGCCTCACTCTGGTTGCCTCTGTCAGGTGGTTTTAGTGTTTACACTTTCCCATCACAGAAAGAGACAGAGGTGCTGAAATCTTCAACATTTGCCATAATATCTCAGAAGACAGTTTACCGGTGTTGCAGTTTAATAAAATATGAATTTGATAAAAAGAAGAAAATAAATGGACCCATAGATTAGCAAACTGATTCCTTCTCACTGTCACCAGATCCACCATCTTTTTGTACGTAGTTTGCATGTTCTCCCCGGTGTCCATGTACACTGGTTTCCTGCCACAGTCCAGAGACATTCAGTTAGTCAGGTTAGGTTAATTAGTGATTCCAAATTGGCCATAGGTAAAAAGGTTTGGTGTGAATGGTTATCTGTCTGTCTGTGTCCACCCTGTGACTCACTGGCAACATGACCAGGGTGTACCTAAAGGCAGCTGGGATCGACTTCCACCAACCCTAAACTGGATAAACAGAAGAAAGTGGATGGAAAGATAACTGCTGTTGTGAATGGGTGCCATATAAATAAAAAATCATTTCAAAATGAAATAGTATCAACAAAAGAGCTTAAAAAGGTAGAATAAAAATATTATGCTTTACAAATAATAAACATTGGAGAGTGTTTAAAAATTAAAATCACTTGCTAAGAAAGCAAAAGTTACAAAAAAGTTACAAAAGTTACTCACCATGATGTGCAGCGCTGACTTTATTCATAAGCTTATGACATAGTCGATATGTTGCTAATGAAATCCAGTATATACCTGAAGTCACTGTGAGGGTATAAATCCAAACAATTTTTATCTCTCTTGGCAAACTTAAAATGATTAAAAAATGATAAATTAGTGTTAACGATCAACTTGTGTTTGCTTTCCAGGTGTGTTCTGGATCGCATGGGAGGACCTTTGTCAATACTATGATGTCATCTACCTGAGCTGGAATCCGGCACTCTTTAAAAACTCCTCCTGTATTCACAGGTGTCTGTTAATTTATATTACTCATGTTTTATGGATGCAGAGTTTGTCACTCACATTTTAAGGACTATTCAAGGGAACAAAAAACATTACATAGTATCTTACTCTTAAATATTCTGGTACATTTTGTGACATTCTACACTGACATGTCTATGTTCTGGTTTCTTTTCCATTTGCAGTACCTGGGATGGAAAGCAGGGTCCAGTGAAGGATGTGTACAGTCTTGCCAACAATCCCCAATACAGGCTGGAGGTTCAGTGTCCAGCTGGTGGTGCTGCTGTGTGGGTGCTTCTCACCAGACACATCACTGATAAGGTAAAGGCACAGATCTGATATGTTTTTATTTCATCCAGATTTAATTTCCATTAATGTGGTGGTCTGATACTGTAATGCTACACTTTTGTGCTATGACCGTGTCTGTCCAGGATGATTTTGCACAAAACAGAGAGTTCATCACGCTGGTCGTTTACAAGACTGATGGCAAGAAGGTTTACTATCCAGGTGAGGTTTGATAGATGCCTTAGAGGACATTTTCTTTCTTTCTTTCTCTGCACCACCGAGCAAGGACAGTTCCACTATAGATGAATGGTAGCAGGAGATTGATGGCAGCCTTTATTTCTGCCCTTCCGCCGCATACAGCAAGGTCAGATGCCTGGAAGAAAGAGATTAGTCTATTGCAGAGCCCTGGCTTTAGTGATGCATCGCCCTTTTTACAACGACACAAAGAAAAACTTCACTAACATTTACTACCCTATAAAATTGATACTGGAGGTTAAGAAGAAATTCAGTTAGAAGTTGAGTTTGACGAAAGTTTTACGTTATCTGTAAGCTACAGTGTGGTTATTTACTTTGAATACCTCCTCTTCCTCCCCAGCGGATCCCCCTCCTTTCATAGATGGCATCCGTATCAACAGTCCTCACTATCTGACCAAGATGAAACTGACCAGTGCAGGAACACACACCTTTACCCTGGTGGTTTCCCAGTACGAGAAACAGAACACCATCAACTACACACTGCGGGTGAGAGATGTTAACTCTGTTTATGCTCATACACAGAAGTACAATCTGAAAAGTAATTTAAAAAGTCTAGTCTTAATTCTTTTTTTACTACTGAAATCATTTCTAACTCTAACTAGAATTTGATGTGGCAGCTGGTAACAACAGTTTCAAAGCTATCTATTGGGCATTTTGTCAGAAGAACTCAAGTACACAGGAGCCAAGTTGATCTATAAGTTTCAGTTGGGTTTCCTACAAACTCATAAGGATCAAAACCTGGTTATGCTAGAATAAGCACGATGTCTGTTTTTGTTTCTGTCAGACTTACTGTACATACTACATGCAGTTAGGAACAGTGACTGCTCTTCTCTGATCTCCTCTCCCTATAAATTAAAATTCACCTCTCACATTATTCTGCTACACCCTCTTCAGCTTGTCTGAAAAAGCAGGTCCTTGAGTGTAGATTCTCAGGGACTTTTTAAGTGCACGCATGTGCTGCGTGACCCAAATATATTTTTTAGTTATTTATAATTCATGGACTCCTCTTGCAAACCGCAGTGAGGACTTGGGAAAACAGTTTATACTGAAATCCCTCATTAAAAAAACAACGTGCACTCGTGTGCACGTGTCAGCTGGAAGCTTTGTGTTTTATGTGTGTGTGAATTCTGTAACAGCAACACGACTGCTGTAAACACTGCAGGCTTTCTCTCAGTTTCTCTCTCTCCCTCTGTCTCCAGCAAGCCAGCCGTGAAGAAAAATCCCCTCCTATCAGCTCACATCAGTGTTTCTCTATGAATATCATCTTTGGAATAACTGATTGAACTCTCTCGTGTTCACTGTGTTTTCACCAGAGATCAAAGCCCGAGCAGAAAATCTGATTTCTTTCCTAATGTTTCTTTTGCCAGAATGGCACTGATATAAAAGATTTATTTTATGAGCAGATGGTTAAGAATTCAGTTTTCTACAGTGTTTTGAGCTACAATATGCACATTTTGACAAAGTTATAGATGATGAAGGAGTATTATTAGGTAGGGTATGAATTGGAATTTGAATATTTTACTGAGCATTTTGCCCGCTAACAATGTGAACCCTAAAATAATGGAGGTTGTTTCTTTATGCAGGTCTACACTGGATGCAAATTCACCTTCTCCAAGATCCCAAATCCCTTCACTAACACAAAAAGGGTATGCTATCTATAAATCAACAACTACATTCTGTGCATTATGTATTTTATCATGCAATTTAGGACTGGTACATTATTGGGCAATTTGGTTAGCTAAATTAGACAACATTATATTAACTGTATTCTGTGAATATATTTACCTTGTCCAAACAGTTGGATATTGTGAATATTATGTTTACTGACTTGATTTCTGTCTTCAGATCAATGGTCAGTGGAAGGGGCTCAGTGCCGGTGGCTGTGGAAACTACAAAGACTCGTACAAAAACAACCCAATCTATCAGATTAACCTGGAACGGTCCGGACCGCTGCTCATCGAACTCCGAGGATCCAGGTGAACCCCCTATACCCTAGTTGGTATACTGAGGCGCAATATACCAAATGTGGTATAGAGTAAATTGGGTCTCCATATGACAATAATATCCTAATAGGAGCACAGTTTTCAATTTTCATTGAAATCATTCATGTAGTTTTAGGTCCAATAGATTTAAAAGCTTGTTTTACTTTTACTTCATCTGGGCTCGTAGTTGTATAATCTGCATGTAGCAGAAAATAATGACATAAAACAAACACTGAAACCATCAGCATCATCAACCTCTTAGTCTGGGTATCTATGTGCTACTTAGAAAATGCCAGCAAAAAGATTCTGGGAAAATTAGATTTTATAACACAAAATTGGGTTAAATTAGTCCTCCGGGGTCGTGGTCACGGCACTTATTTTGGCGCACTTCAGATCTCTAACCAACTGATGGAATTTATGTCAGCACAGCCAAAACTACTTGAAAGTCTTTGTCACTCTGTGCTACATTATCATATAAAGACTTCAGAAGTGAAATGAAATTTGAATTTGTTAAATGTTCGCCTGAAACAAGATTTGCAGTCCAACAGATAAACCAAGTTATGCTTTTCTAGTTGTTCACACTGTAGGGAGGGTTAACAGTGACGCAGATGGCACAAAAACTAAGGCGTTTGTTCACCATGCCAATGACAGATGTTTTTGTAGTGGTTTTGTTTTTCTGGCATTAAATCTCCTCGTTAATGGCAATAATTTTAGGGCGTTGCCACTTATATTTTACTTTATTTCAAGCATATTTGTTTGACTAGCTTTAAGTGACTTATTAGCACAACGGCTAAATGACTTTTCTCATGTAGCATTAGCACATAAAAATCCTCTGGCTCAATCTCTTACCTTCTTTCTACCTTACATACTGAGACACACAGGCTTGTTGCACTAAAGTCCATCTCTGCACTGCAGGAAACCAAATAAAGGCAAAACAAAAAGCTCTTATTTTTCCTCAACAATGGATAACCCTGTGACTTTAGCTTGAGCATCTTTGATCTGTGTAGAAGTCAGTTGCTATTCTCTGCATTTTATTTCTGTTCTGTGTCTGCAGGCAGTACAGTGTTGGGTTTGAGATGGTGACAGTGTCGACAGTGGGTGATCCAGGCTCAGCTGCCTTCCACAAGAAAACCAGTGGCGATTACAGGTACAGTAATGAGCAGGCATCATCGTGAAAGGTACACAGGCTGCAGAGCAACAAGTCCACCCTGACCATAAGCTGAGTTTGATGTCTGGTCATTTATCAACACTGCAGAAGATTTGTTTGAGTTCACTTAGAGCATCAGGAGCATTGTTACATCTGAGCAGTACATGGATCTGATGCGATATCTTTGTGACTTTCTGAGGGCAAAATTAATTTTAATTTGATTGAAAGTATTTATTTATTACTGCTGTAAAGGATCACAAAATGTTTCTTACTACAATTTGCATATTTCGAAAATATTGATCAATTCATTTTGTTCCTCAAAAACGTGTCTCCATCTGCGATTGTAGATCTTAACCATCATTAAATTTTTAACAGGTCAATACTAAAACAGTCAGCAGGAATATGTATTAAGCTGTGGATTTTATTGTTTACAAGCATGTGGGCATAGCTGAGTGAGTTCAGTTTGACATGCAGTAATTTTAGATTATACCACCAGGGGGCAGCATTTTATCAGTCGGTGTGTTACGTTGTTTTCAGATTTTTACTGCTGTTTAAGATGTTTAAGTCTTTTTAGCAAACCCAGTTTCCGTAAGAGAATTTGAAAGTGTTCCTGATTACTTGCCAGGTTTAAAAAAAATTAAATTAAAATAACATCAACAAATTATTCTGTTTATAGATTTGGTTAGGTTTGGAAGATTAAGAACCCTTTTTTTTTTAATTAAAAGAATTTACAGAAAGTACCTTTAAGTCAAAGTCGTTCGAATGAAGAAGAGTTAGTCTGCTTATCTTTTAAAATGAAAATGTGATGTTTAGTTTCCCACACCTCTGAAATGACATCAACCTCTGCCATAAATGAAGGTCACAGCCTCTTCCTTGCTTCTTGCAGATGTGGTTTCTGCTACATGGAGGTGGATCACGTCCCAGCAGGCATCTATAACGTCACCCCCACCACTTTCCTGCCTAAACAGGAAGGACCCTTCTTTTTGGACTTCAGCAGTACTTCAACCCTGAAGGTCTCCCAGCTCCAATGAAGATGGAGCTGGGATTGGGAGGAAGGTACTTGGTGGCATTGTGGAATATATTTCTGAAACTGCATTTTGGAAGTGCCAAGGCCTCCACAAAGCCCAGAATGTGACTGCTGCTAGCATTTTCTCTTCTTTCACTGAGACTTTTGCTGATGTGGACTTGAATTTCAAAACTGACTCAAGGATACCACAAAGCTGTTCTGGAGATATAATCAAAGAGGCACTTTGATATGGACTAAAACACATAACCATCAAGGCATCTTGGGACAAAAACAAAAAAACATCTCTGCCAAATTAGAAAACAGCCCATTACAAGCCTCACAAAGTAATGGTGTTAAGAGCAGTAACTCCCTAATAAGGCACACAGTTCCTCAACTAGAATAATTAGTATCAACATTTTTGTTCTTATTGTAGGCAAATCTGAACAATAATGATTATACAGACACATCTGGCATTCATCGGGATGTGGAGCAGTAACGGGGTTGAAGCTGCAGAATTAGTGACATCGCTACTTAAACACAGCAGATTTTTCTACTTCTTCACAGGATCTGTTTTGCTGCGGTGAACACCTCAGCTCTAAAGAGCTACAGTCTTGTGGTTTCAAATCACAGGTTTAATTTTAAGACAAGGATGATGTATTTAAGATATGACGGTACTTTTGGATTGTAGCTGAGTGCATTCAGTCTAAAATGTGACCAGCAGCAAGCCAACCAGTGTTGAACTATACACGTAAGGAAATGAAATGATGAAGCTGAAATTCAAAATTAATTAAAAGACCAGGGGAAAGAAAACACACAACTCTCATATAAATGAGAAAAGTAGTCCAAGGGTTTCATGTTTGAGGTGCTCATTACTTCAAAGCTTCAAAGACACTGACAACCACAATTAAAAAAAACACAACATGCTGTTTCTGGGAAGTAATTAAATCACTTTCCGAGTATATCGAAATCATATCTGTTGTGACATTCACTTCTTCTAGCAATTAAATAAGCTGCCAAAAAAGCTGTTTTAAAAAAACAGTTAACATGTCAGGTGGAAGGGGCAGTTAGTTTCTTTGAACCACCAACAAAATATTATTTTTAATTCTCAGGAGCAGTGCAGCAGAGCAGCATCACAGGGAGTCCAGTATGGCAGCAGTCGAATGATGTCTCTACATGTTGTCTGGCTGAGTGAGAAACAGCCTGATTTCACTGACAGGATTCACGCTGAGTTTGTTATACCTGAGCGTGCGTATGTGGGTGCGTGTAGATGTCTGATTGTCACTGTTACAAACTTAAATGTCTTGCCAAGTACCCATAATATGTTTACCTTTTGTTTTGTCGATGCACTGCACTTTAAACTCTTTTTCATCGTGTTTACTCTTTGGTTCATCGGTGCGAACAGCAGCTCAACCTAAGTCACCGTGTTTCCTCAGTTTATCGTGTAGAAAGTTTCTTTTGGGTGATGTCAGCTATCAGCAGTCTGTCATGTACAGATGCTGCTGCTATATTCATTGCTGCTCATCTCTGCCAAGCTTTACAGTTGCATCACAAATCCCTGGGCAACAATATGTGTTGCAATCATAGAGGTACGTGATTGTATTAGATTTGGATTTGGGCTAGAGACCCTGAAATACCAATGCTGAAATTAACATGAGGAATATGTTGCATCATGTGGAAGCAGCCGGCCAATATTACGCTCATTAAATGTACTGTATGCTTAGAGACATTTGAATGGAAAACCATTGAGTCAACTCACCGAAGGACTTTTGATCTCACAAACGAGAGATTCAGTGCTTTTCTCATTGCATTGCAACTTGCAGACTCAAAATCTACAGGCCATTTATTTCTGGAGTTTTCAGCATCAAAGTTTATGCTTCACCTTGGGAACATTGTTTGAAAAATGATATGGTCAGCTTACTATATGGTTTTTGTTTGTTTGTTTGTTTTTTAGCTTTTAATTGCATCAGAGTTTAACTAAAAGCGAAGGAGTTCAGTCAGCTGTCATAGCTGATTGTAGTTGTTTGCGGACCTAAGAACCATCTCTGTGATATTCAAGCACTTACTGTAAAGAAAAGCTCAAGTAATGAAAACTTTGTTCAGTCCATCCATCCATTTTTTTATTTTTCTGTTTTGTTTTTATGCTGGAGCCTATCCCAGCTGCTACAGGGTAAAATTCAGGGTACACCACGGACAGGTCGGCAGGTTGTTGCAGGGCTAGTGCAACAACCATTCATACTCAATTCACACCTGCAGCCAATTTACATTCAGTTAACCTAAACCTATTTTGCAAACTCAGAAGTTAAGTAACAGAGAGCAAACACTTGGGAAATAAATATTAAACTTAATTTAAATTTTAACTTTAATATGATTCACTTTACAAATGTGTGTCGTGGGCCATTATATTTGTCATTTGCACCCTTGTGAATGGATATGAGGACACTGATGTCAGATCCACTGGCACAAGCCATGCTAGTGTCATTTTGCATGGTCATGCACCATCCAGTTTCTGTAACCTCACAAGTGTTTCTGTTCCCTCAAAAATGCCACAAAGCAAATATAAATGTCACCATCAGTGCACGAAGCAACCATTGCTGGGTGTATAATGGGCCCTGTAGTGCCATGGCTGCATGCTGAAGAAGTCTGTGTTCAATGGGAACAATGCACAGCTATAAACCCCTGCGTGAGCCACCCTCAGTCTGCGCACAGCTGTTTCTTGTGTGACTAATGATTTCACCAATTTAATTTGAATTGTTCATAAAATGAAGGGGAGAAATCCAAAACATGCAGTTTACAGTGGTGTAAAACACTGAAAAAGAGTTAATCATCACTTAAATAAACATATGTAGAAGCATTTTTGCACAAATGATTAAGTGATTTTCAAAATAGTTGCTGATGGATTTTCTGTTGCTTAACACGCCACGCGATGCTGTGCACTTCTTGTTCACAACATTACAGAAGCCTCTTCACAATAAATCAGATAAAACTGCTTATCTTATTTTTGGCTTGGCTTTTTGATCAATTTATTTTTGAATATTTTAATTTCTCATGTGAATCGTGTACATCTTGTCTGTGTACCATTATTCTTTTGCAATGGAAAAAGCACGTGTGCAGTGGAGGCGGACTGTAAATGAATTAGTAATGTTGGTGTGTAAAAAGATTGACGTAAACTGTTCAGCTTTAAATATCCATTGCGAGGGACTTCTTTTCACCTGTTGACTGATGATAATTTATTGTTGTAATGAATATCCATCTCTCACAATACTGACGTGTCTTTTTATTACTGACTAGCCGACTCATTTAAAGATGAAACAAGACAATCTTGCAGCAACCTGTTGTGTGAATGATGATATTTGCAGAACTTGCACTAAGCGTCGAGTAGACTGGCATGTTCAGAATTTGAATACAGAGAATTATACCTGTTTCTGTCTGTGCTCTTTTTCAATTATTTGTGCAGATAATCACAAGTACATCACATTGTCTACCTCTGAAGCCAGTGTGCCATATTCAGATAACAGTATTTCTACCCACAGCAATCCTGTACTGAAGCAAAACAGAAGTAATCATGTCAGCTATAGAGGTGTGCTAATGACATGTTCAGCTATCAGCCTTATGACAACCTAACCCCGACAGAGACACTTCAAGCCCTCCCACACATCTGACTGATGATTGCATGTAGCTGACATAAACACTGGATCCAGTGCTAGAGGGATAAGTCAGACATCTAGTGTTAAATTAAAAGGTAAGCCAGCCATATCCGTCTTGATCATCTGTGTGGCAATCTGACCGTAAAATCCTTTGATCCTTTTTATTTAAAAAAAAATAATCCAACTGTGAAAATCATCACGAAAGGTTGTGATAAAAGGATGTTTCAGGTGAGCGGTCGGATGAAGCAGAGCCAGTTCAGCTTCTGAAGAATTTGCTGACATGAAAGCTGTGAGGTGAGCCAGTTATCTTACTTTTATCATACCAGTCGTTAGGTTTGTTTGTTCTATTTGTATTCAAATTTCATTGAAATGTGCAGTTGTTTAGACATTACTGACCCCGTGCTGTGATTGGACAAGAAAAAAGGTAAGTTCTCATAATCTTTTTTTTTTGTTTAGTGATTTCTGTTAAAAATCTGTGTTATTAATTTTTTTTTTTTTAAACAAGGTATATGAAGTAGAGGAGAGATGAAAAATGATGAATTATGTTAGTGTGCAATAATCAGGCTTCGGTGTAATTTTCTTTGTGTGGCAATAATTCATTTTAGTCTTTTTTCATTGACAGTTTGGTGCTCAGTTTTTGTAGTTTTGTGTTTCTACACAGTGTGTTTCAAATCACAGAATCAACATGTGAGTAAAGTGCAGACTTTAATTCAAAGTATTTCATTAACTTGGAATTACAGCTGTAATCCATTTTCAGAAGCTTAAAAGTAATTGGACAGTTAATAAAATTCTAGCTTCATGCTCAGGTGAGGCCTGTTGTGCTTCTAACAGCAAATCTCTCACAGTGTCTTTACACATCCTTAGAATTAGAGGATGTGATGATGGCAACACCATGACAAGACAAAAAGGTTAATGTGATGTTGTGTGTGTGTGTGACTACACTAACAGGAAAAAAAGGCAAAAGGTCAGTGTTAAAGTGCAAACATGAAGACAGGCATGGGAAAACCCTGAAAAGAAATTAGAGAGGGCTGACTGGGCTGCTCAAAGCTCATGTCACATGTGACCCTGATAAATGCCAACATGTCAGCGTGGAAATTTTAAACTTCACAAGTTGCCTCCAAAGAAGTCTATCTGCACATTTAGTTACACGTGCTTTAAGATTTGGAAAATGTGTACTTTTCTTAAGATCCTTACAAAATAGTTTAAAGTCGAACGTATGTTAAAACCTTACATGTTCTCACTTTAAACATTTAATACGGTGTCTTTGTTCTGTTAACAGGAGCTAAAATATTCTATTGTTCATCTTGCTAAACCTTCAGGCAAAGAAACAATAACCTAAACAATAAGTGGTGGTAGTGTCCTCACTAAGCTCCGTTCTTTTCTCTGAATCCTGATCACTTTACAGCTATCCCTCACTGCCTGTTCAGAAGACACCACTGGCAAGTGTAATATATCTAAGCGCACGTAATAGTCAGATCATTCCTTAAAATAACTGACACATCAGGAACAAGCCAAGGGGCATGCACTCCCATACAAACCTCCCTCTACACCAAATCAGAGCTCAACATCAGACTCAACAGGTTTACCCCTGTTTCTGTAACAGTACATTGAGGAAAAGTGGAAGAACAGACTGATTAATGTTGGGCTCTAAGTCACCTGTGTCTCTAAAGACTGTAACAGGAACTTTCTGACCCCGATCAGCTAGTGGCTCATTGGCTTC